GCACCCGCCAACCGCCCAAGAGGAGAATATAGCATTCCTTCTGAAAGATAGAGGTGCCCGATGAAACAACTGCCCCATACGGAATCAAACTCAAGTTTTCTGTGTGAAACAGCAAGGAATCTAACCATAATACCAAAGATGTCACTCAGTGACTGACTTTCATATCAGTTTTCCCACAAACCCTGTGGAGACAGACAGATAAACAGAAAAGCGCGTGCACACACACACACACATATACATAAACAAAAACACACATATATAATAATAATAAATAATAAATGACATTTATATAGCGCTCAACCCCGAATAAAGTACACAGGCTCTGAGCGCTTTACAATACAGTACAACATACAACAGTAACATGAAACGTTGTGTTCTGACTAAAGAAAATTATTCCAAATATTCATCTTATTAATTTAAAAACAGAAGCGACTTCAGCTGACATTTGAATGAATCAAAAGACACATATATAAACACAAACACAGCCACACACTCCACAAGACATGAAAGTCAACAGAGAGCAACACAAAAACAGGAAGTATAAAGTCGAAACTTCTCCAAAAAGATTTTTATTTCACTTTTAAATGTACACACAACAAAAAACTAATAATAAATAAAGGTAGTACCCGTACTCAATTTACATCTCATACTTTACATAACTCAAGTCTATTCAAATAACTTCCTTCTTCAAACTCTGATTACCCAATGACAATAGTATTACTATTACAAAATTTAATCAGCTCGTTCTTCACCACAAGCTGTAACAAGCAGCTCATATTATCACCCATGCTTTATTCTGTCCCCGTCGTTTTCTGCCAGAAAAATTCTGAAATTATGCAAACTGAGCCCAAAAATGTGAAACTATGCGATTCTGCTAATTTTAACGAAGAATGAAAAAGGAAAATAATCAGATATTATGCAAAAAATGATCAAATTTGGCTAAATTATGCGGGGTGCATAAAACCACGGGGACAGTTTATTATGGACTTGACCCGCATTTTGTGGCTCCACATCTCTTCCTCTCCAGAGTTTTTACAGACTCACACAAACAACTATTTTTAAGCTCACTTTACATTTTTCTTTCACACAAAGTGCCTGAAAGGAAATCAATTCCCTGTATTTCGGTGGTTAACAGTTTGCAGTCACACAGCCAGCAGGACAAAGTACATGTATACCCCATCTGGTCACCCAACCTGGAGTGACTGCAACGGACTTCTCGGGCCTGTGGCACAGCTGCGCCAAGTGACCGGAACGGATAATTGGTCGCTTTAAAGCACAAGGGGGCTATCCCGAAAAATGACGTTTTGAGAAAATTGAAGGTAAAGTTTTTAGACCCTTGTTCAGTTTCTCTAAAACACAAGGAGAGTTTTCTCTATAATATAACCAAACAAATATACACACCAGTGAAACCAAACTTTAAAAGCGATCAATTTTCACCGTCGCATTATTGCAAAGAAAAGTGGCCGCAAAGTGTTAACACATTTGAATAAACTCTAAAAATACCCGTAGTCCAAAATCTTGTCAGGACAAGAAAATCATGAAAAAAGTCAAACCAGGAGGCTTAGCCATATTTTTGGCAAATAGTGCATTTGACTAAATAAGGCTTCCCCCCCCCCCCCCCCCCCATGTTTGAAATTCTCACCTCTTTGTGTTCACTGTTTTCTTTCGTTTGCTTTTTTGCATTAATAATAAACAAAGATAGTAAATAACAAGATGGGCCACTCAGCCAAAAAAGTGTCCGCAGGAAGTATGCTCTTTGCTTCAGATGGCGCTGCAGTCTGTTTTGAAGCTCTCTTTCGTTTTTCCAGAAGAAGAATAGGAATAGCACCTCCTTGCGTGCGCAGATCGACTGCTGTTCATCAGCAGTTCGGGTACGTTCAGTGCGGAGTATTTTTTTATTTTTTATTTTAATGACCTCTCGCCTTTCATTCTAAAGTCAAATTAAACGAAGAAAACAATCACCCTTTCCTCCGGAAGAGGTTTTTTGTCAGCGTAACCATTTTAAAAAAGCGTTCTTCCGAAATTTATCCCAA